CTGTCTGCAGTCCAGGCAGGTTGTCCTCTGAAGGACTCTTAAGAGGATGTGGTGAGAGGATACTGCAATACACACATTAGTTTGTTATTTCTAAAAATCCAAGAAGTGCAGTCTGTGGTATTTTAGGCAACAGAAACTGAGACTCCAGAGCAGTTCTGTAATTTGGCTACATCCTACCCAGTTTTAAAATTAACAGCTCTTTTCCTTGAGTGACAGTCTTTACACTGAGGACTGATCACTTAGGTGGTCACTTAGATTTTTACACCTGTTAAGGTAATTTGGGATGTGAACTATTCTGGAATCAGTTGGGGTTTTTTTGCATCTAAGCTACACCGAAATAACTGGCTTTATATTGAATACAAGAGTGTTTCTAGGGTGTTTATACTTGTTAAATGTATTTTRAAAAGTATTTTCAGTGGTATGAGGCCARTATATAGCAATTGAGAAAGCTTTCAGAGAAAAGAAAGAATATTTAAAGATACRCAGACAGAAGYGTGATAAAGCCTSTTTYTWCAAGTAGTTCACAGGAAATTTGATACTTCTTTTGTTTTCCTGGTATTCTAATTTTTTAAAATTGGYATTAATAGTAGTKCTTAATTATTGTGATCATAGTTCTTACAGGTCCCATTCTATGACTCTGTCTCCAGGCTCTGTACTATGGTGTTTATTAGCAGCTAGTAAGTTTGAGTAAATAGGRCAGAAAACTAGGGAGGGTATGACCTGGAAGCACTTTTTATTTGCTTTTTTTATTCTACAACATGGAAATATAATTCAGAATAGGAGCTAAGAAGAAACAACAACTGTGTTGATCTGTCAGAAATTTGTGGGTTTAAATGAATGAATGGAGGTTGAGAAGTAGAAAGTCAGCCATCCTTTGAGTTGTTTGAGAAATATCATATATGTCTTCTATATTGATCAATGTTTATTATTCACAGATGTGTCATGAAGATGGATCACCACTGTCCTTGGATCAACAACTGTTGTGGATACCAGAATCATGCATCTTTCACTCTGTTTCTCCTCTTAGCTCCGCTGGGATGCATTCACGCTTCTTTCATATTTATTATGACAATGTACACTCAGCTTTACAACAGAGTAAGAAAATATAACTAAATACTTAAAATATTATTTAAGTCAGGTGCATAATTTATCTCTGGAGGTATGAGAGAATTTGGTTTTCTGAGAAAAAGTATGTGTATTTCCTTATTTTTCCACATGCACTCCTAGTTCTGCTCTGTACCTGTAAGAAGTACATGTGTTAATGGTGGAGGATTCAGAGAAAGTTGTTTCTATTTTCATTCTATTTTTCTCTTTTCTGTTTTTCCCTGTTGCTTCTCATAATCACAGGAAGTTTTCTGGTGCTTTATGTTCAATAATATTCTATGTAGAGAGAAACAGACTGTTTTGTCTGGCACAGAAACCAGCTGCTGTATATTTCCAACACAGTTACATGCTATTTATTTTCTTTTACTGGCCTCTTTTTTTTGTATTGTGTCCATTTCTTCAAGGAAAAAAAGTATATTATCTTTGGCACTTCAAATAAACAYGTTAGCTTTGTTTTCTTTTGACTGGAAAGCTTCTACTGTAGCAACAATGAGCAAATCATGTGGAAGACACCCCTTATCTCAGATCCATGGTTGAAATTATAAGCTTTGATTTCAGCCTTTGTGGTTGCAGTGAAGAGCTTGATAACATCAGCTGASTGTAACAGATGAAGTTGTATTTGTAGCAGCTGAGTTGTGTTTGCAGAGTGATAACGTTGAGAACTGTGATCTGCAAAGCTTTCCGAGGAAAAGCTGCAGCATTTCCATGGCAAATGGGGAAGGTGCTATGCAAACAGTCTGACACTGATAAATGTGTTTTTGTTAATATACCAGAGCACAGATTAATTTGCTGATTTTTGGGCTTCTGGAGCTTGCAAGATGGTGACTGTGGTTTTACTTTCCATCTAGCAGCAAACAAATTTTCGAAGACGAAAGAAATRTTTTTTTAATTAKTATTTTTTTTTAGTTACTCTGCTTGCATTATAAACCTGTCAGACAYTGAACAGTCACCTTCAGAGGCAGATTTCTTAACTTGCTTTGTTTTGGCAGTTGGAATGTTCTAGAGCTGAATGATATYTTTCCCTTTGCAGATATCTTTTGGGTGGAGTTCTGTGAAGATTGACATGAGTGCAGCCAAAAGAGACCCTCGTCCCATTATTCCCTTTGGACTGTCTGCATTTGCTGCATCTTTATTTGCCTTAGGACTGGCATTAGGAACAACTATTGCTGTTGGTATGCTGTTTATTATCCAGGTAAGTCTGTGGCTCTGTTACAAAGAAGTTAAAAGCCGTAGGTTTTGTGTGCTTGTTGTGTGTGTTTCTGGGACCAGAAACAGAATTCACGATTGAGATAAGAACAGCTGTTCAGAGCTTAAGTTCCTGTGTAACTTTTCCAGGGATTTATATAGCTTTTTCCCAGTTTTTGTGTTGTTACCACAATTTTTTTTTTTTGTTTTTCTTCATTGGACAACTTGGGCCTGAAAATCTATTGAACTAAGAAAACATGAGGTAGATTTTATAAAATCCCTGAAAAAGTCAAAATACTTGACCTGTCCCTGAAAACAGGTATAGATGTGCTTAATGGATTTCTTAAAATGTTTGAGGTCTTTGGAAGGAAACAAAAAGACACATTTTAAGCATAAAGTACAATACTAYGTGATACTTATATGTCACATATCTTATATGTAGAGTTCTAGAGCATGTATCTCTGCTGAGTGTTAACTTTTAACATCTTATATGTTTCAGTTAAGTCTGTGAAAGTTGCTTTATTCTTTAAAACAAATTTAGTTTGTTAAATGAAACTTCCTTTGCATAGCTGATGTATTCCTGCAGAAAAAAAAAAAATTCTAATTTCACCTAACACTTTTATTTCAGATGAAAGTAATTTTGACAAATAAAACTTCAATCGAGTCCTGGATTGAAGAAAAGGTAAACTTTTATTACAGTATCCTTGCACTGCTACMAAGTTTATTTTCCATATTTATAATTTCTTTTGTTTCACCTCAGGATTTAAACCAAAGATGTTATTTCATTTCGCTGCTGACTTAATACCTACAACAAGGTTTGCTCTTCATTGTCTCTGAAATTGACTGAAAGAGATGGGAAATTATGTAAATGTGTAGTTTTTTTGGTTTTGTTTGTTTGGGTTTTCTTCATTGTTTTGGAGGAGTTTGTTGAACATATAATAATATTTGCTTTAAAGAGACTTTGCTTATCCACTTGAAATATGTGGGTATTTTAATCTGAAACTTGACCTTTGTCATTATGCCTGCCTGTACATTTAATTGTTCATCTCACTGATCCATTCAAAGTGTTATCTTTTGACTCGTGATTTTCCCCATTTCTTACTTTGGATTGTAAGGGAGGATTTTCCTTGATTCTGAAGAAGTACTAGAAAATACCTAGTCTTCTCTCCTTTAAATTTTTGTTGGATTTCTTTATCTTTGTAGAGGTTTTCACTAGATTTTACAGGAGCAATATTGTCAAGCAGCAGAAACTAAGTGTAGAAGAAGCAAAACCGATTCAATATTTAGAAATTAATTTAGTGCTACCTGTTTTTTTTTTATGTAAGTCCACAAACATTTCAATAATGTCTTGTCCTTTTTTTTATTTTGTGTGCCAGAATTAGCATGAGAATCTGGACTGTGTATAAGTACCTCAAGTATTGTAATGTCAACTTTGCATGAGTATTTTTGGATCCAAGTCCTGTTAGACCTTTGAATAATGGGATAATGGTACATAAATGAAAGAAATCCCTGTTACCACTATATTGCAAAATTTGGAATAATATGTTAAAATTTTYACTGYAAAACACAGGCTGCTAATATGTCCMTTCTGAAAACTGARCACGGACTGTAATACATAAATATTTAATAAAATGGCATTATTGCAGCAGACAGCACTGCTCTGTGGCTGCTCCACTAGATGTCATCAGAACTGTGAGAATGTCAGGCTCGTGACTATGGAATGTGGGCGATTCAGATCATGCCTGTGTGAGCATTCTTAGAGGAGGAATTGGCACTACCAATGTTGAGTCATGCTCATGCTCATTAATCAGAGGATTGTAGCTGTGAAAGCTTTTGTGTGTTGAAATAGTCAGGCATTGGTCTCTAAAAAAAGAGCTGTAAAATAAKGTTGGAGCATGGAGTGGATGATGAGTGTAGTCAGTGGACTCTGTTGTTAAAGAGTAAATGGGGAGTGACAGGGATGGGGACACCCAAAGCAGACATACTTCTGAATTATTGTTTTAAGTGGTTTTTAAAGCCTRGGTTGGTATAGCAGGAATTCACTGCTCCTGCCTGAAAATATTTGCCTTTAGGTCCCATGGACCCATACAGGGCTTCTGACCTGGCCTTCTCAATATTTGCTGCTTGACTGCAGTTTGTAGGATGTTTTTATGTACTGCATTTCCTAATTCTTTTTTAGGCCAAAGACAGAATCCAGTACTACCAAACGGGTGAGACCTTTATTTTTCCCTATGATATGGGAAGTAAATGGAAGAACTTCAGGCAAGTGTTTACATGGTCTGGGATTCCTGAGGGAGATGGCCTGGACTGGCCAGTAAGAGATGGATGTCACCAGTACAGTTTGACGGTAACTGGTCTGCAGTGGTATCTCAAGTTCATTCTCCCCACTATCCAGCTGTCTGCTTTCCTTTGCAATAATAGACCAACTTTTTAAATGACTAAAATAGTCTGGATTCAAAACATGTACAGGAGTTCCATTAAATGTTCTCCCTGTTTTGAAACACTAAAAACTTATGCTTTTGTGAGTGCTTCGAACTGCTAATGGCATTTCCTGTGTTTGTTGAATGGTTTCAATACCTGGCTTCATTTTGTGTTGAACACTGCCTAAATTTCTATTTTAATCCTTTGTAGATAGAGCAACTGAAACAAAAAGCAGACAAGCGAGTAAGAAGCGTAAGTATTTGTAAAGTTTGGTCTGAAATTACTTTGAAATACTATAAATAAATGTAATTAATCAACACAAACAATGTATAGAAATCTCTGCTTACTTAAGCTTGGCATTCAGCCTTTGCATTTCCTTCTTAGTTTCCAAATGGGAAGAAACATGAAAATAGAGATGACTGTGCTTCATTGTTAAGCAGTTAATTTAGAATTTAGAATCCCTTTGACTTGAYTTTTTTGGTGTGAAACAGAAATAASAGATTGCTGTGTTCTGTTCCAATCTGTAGGTGCGGTATCGAGCCATAGAAGATTACAGTGGAGTCTGCTGCCCTGTGACTAAAGGTGTTAAAACATTCTTCACAACACCGTGCACTGAAGAACCTAGAATTGCACTGAGTAAAGGGGATCTGATTTTAGCCACCAGAGGTTTAAAGTTAGTGGCTCCACACCTTTACGTTTGGTTAAMAGAAATATTGAGATGAGTTCTTGCAACTAATTACCTGTTCTGTTTCCTTCCCCAGACACTGGATGTATGGTGAGAAGATTGTCATCTCAGCTGCTGATGGTATGGAGCAGTTACTTTCACTTTTTCTGTTGAATGCAAATCAATTTTATAGCTGTCTAGAAATGTGGCCAGTATTATATGTTCACTTGTGAAAATGTAGAATGATGACCTTACTGGCATTAGCTTATCTGCACTCTCCGTAGTTTTTATTCYCTACATCTAACAGACTTCCCAGTTTTGAAAAACATTAAATGACTCTTTCAGACTGACAGAACTCATCTAGAAGTTTATTGAAAGTTGAGTGGGAAAAGGGACTCTTCATGTTCTAAGAAAGAGTTAGAYTTTTAGACTCTGAAGAGGTTAAGAATAATTTATTTTTTGAAATATTTAAACCATGGTCTTTCCTAACAGATCCAGGCTTCCTACCTACACACCCTATATTACTATAGGGATTAATCTTCGTGTAGCTTAAAAAAGGAGACAATCTCTCTTTAGAATAATTTCCAGAAACTTTAATATGCATTTATAAAACTACCTGTGGGTGYTGAAGATGTTAAAGATTCCTGCAGATCTGTAGAGGGTCAGCATCACAGCTATCTGCAGTGAAGCTTTTACATTTTTCAAGTAAAAGCAGTTATTGCATCTCGAGAAAGAGGAAGATATCTGTAAAGGGTTGAGAGGAAAACAATGAGAATAATTAAAATAATAGAACATGGGRCTAATAAGGAAAAGCCAAAAGGATTGGGATGGTTTACCTGGAGGAGTAGGAAATGGGAGACAGCCCAGGTATGTACAAATAGTCATCACCTGTGTTAAAAGTCTGGTAGACAAGTTTTGTTGCGTGCTTCCTGTGAACCTGRCTTGTAGAAAAAGGAGTTGTAAACCTCATTTATAGACCTCAGGGTATGAGGAGGAATTTTCTTAAGGAATTTAGAGCACTGAAAACTTTGGAGATCTCTGAAACGTTTTAGGCAGTTGGAGAAAATCCATGCATGCCCAGGCAGTGATGTTAGAAATTACTTAGWTGTTCTGTCTTGTAGAAAAAGATAACTTAGGTGTGTGCTTGATGTCTCTTTCAGTCCTGTGTTTTTCCTCAGCAGTGGATCATGTTTTCTTCTAAGTTAATGCAACTTTTCATGTCTTAAGGTGGAGTAAGAGAACGAGGCTGGTTCCCTAGGAATTGTGTGGAAAAATGCCAGTATGACTCTGAAACGGATCAACCAGTGGATGGAGAGAAGAAAAGCAAATAGCCTTCTAATTTTTTTAAATATGAAATGGAATTTTTACTTCAGACCACAATCCTTTACTTGAAATTTTCTGTATATTACTTTAGACTTATGCAATGAATATGTTAGGACAAGGTTTTCCTTTCCTCACAGCTGAAAGGGTTGGATATGCCTGTGCCATGGTTTGCATACTTTTTAAACAATAAATAATTCAAGAAGCCATTCAGTGGATTGCCTTCAAGATGCATCTTTTTCATCACAAGTCAGGATTTTATTTTCCTGTTTAAATTGCATTCTGAGCATTCAGATTTTAGGTTTTTTTTCCTCAGCCGCATCTGATTGTTATGCGTGCTGCTTATCTTTTGTATTTCTCTGAAGCTGCCCCTGRAAATCTTAAAATAAACATCTGATTCAAATTCCAGATAAAATTTGTTACCTGTGACTTTTAATGATGTGAATTGTCCACCTCAAATAAATGATACATTCATATTCACTTGTGGGTTCAATTGTTCTTAGACCTAGTAGATCTAGTGTGTTGGCAAGGGACTGTGTGTCACATTTGTGACAAACACAGTAAGTGACAAAACAATTACCTGAAAATGTAGAGGTCTTTGGGCCCAAACTAAAAACAWAATTAAGTCGGTTGTTTTCACCAGTCAAAGCTAGAGCTGCCTCACAGCAAGGGGTGGATCTTTTGATCCATCTTGATTTCATTTTGGGATAGCTAAGCAAGAGCATTGAAGAGAAACAGCCACTAGCTGTCTGAACAAGACAGGAAGATAAATCTTGTATGTACACAGGGGGAATTGGCCTAGGAAAGCTATAGATACACCTTCCCTCTGAGAGAGCTGATTACTGCAGGGTCAGGGAGGAGCTCTCAGCAGAGTTAGCACAGACCGTGGAAGACAAGACAAGATAAAGCTTTCATCTTGCTTAAATCGTTTTCTAAAGCAGCAGCTTTAGCACAAGAAAATCTCACATGTTTCATGTGGTAAATTCATTGTTTCATCTTATCCTGTGCTGCAAACAAGGAAAAGAAAGTTGAATAGAGAATCTGGACTACCCTACGTCCTTGCCTCATGGCTGGACTTGTGCCTGACCAGTGTCAGCACAGAGAACAAGTTCATATTCTTCAGCAATTGTGTTCTAACTGCAGCTATACAGGGCCAGGCAGCTGACCATGAGGTTGCAGCAGCRCCACAAGTAATTCACACAGGCTTTAGTTTGATTGTGCAGTCTCAATTTATTGCRTCATATATCCTTAGGTTTGACAGCTAAAGTTTTACACTTAGGCTCAAATTCATAAGTGTAAAGGCTTTAACACTGCCATTTCATTTGAAAATGTGCAAAAACTGATCCAGTGCCTCTTAAAGAATGARCTGTGTTTGCTGCAGACACATGTACTTTGCAAACCAGTTGATGCTGTATTACTCATTTTCATTATAAACAAGTTTTATAAACCACATGGTCCAGGACAAGGAAGAGGAAATTCACTTCCTCTAAACATGTGTTAGCATGAATTCATACTGAGTTCAGTCTGATTGCAGATCAATCCACAACAGGTCACAGAGGAGTTCATAGTTTCAGTAGGAAAACAAGGTTTGCTTTTGACAGWGAGAAGTGCATACAGCTGTCTTTTAAAGGCTGAGGCTCTTGCATTATTTTGCATTTCAGTCACAGTCCAAGGAAGATGAAAGTTCGGGCTTTGTCTAGACAGTTGATGCTCAGTCCCACARGATGTTAACACTGCTGCTTGTCAGTTATGCTGTAGCCATCTTCATCCAAAAGCCATTTTTCTCAGGTACTAGAAGCAAATTTAAGTTCCTGCTGCCCTCCACTCAAGTCTGTCTTCACCATAGGCCACGTAGTGTCAGATTTAACTACTCCACACAGTTTAAATTAATCTGGCCATTTATTCCTGAGCAGATGAATAGAGGGCCTCAATCTCCTTCTGGAAGAATTTAACAAGGTCTCCTCGCTTTGCCTTCAGCGTTGGTGTCAAGAGTCCATTTTCTACAGAGAACAACTCTGTGTGGATGTACAGGTCTTTAACCTATWAAAAGAAAACAATTTAGCACATGGCACATAATTAGAAGAAAAACAACAGTTCTTCCCAGCTTCCTTGGGCTCAGKGCAAGAACACAGTTCCAGGAGATGGGATAAATTGTTTTTTTGGCTGACACAGCAAGAAGGTAAAACTCCATAACAGCCCCTGCAGCCTGTTGTGGACCTCCACTCCATCTCTTAGCAGTTGCTGCTGTTGCCCTGCACAGCCACCGGTCTCTTGGTGTGGACAGGCAGCCAAAGTTTCACTTTGCTTCAATCAGCTGTTGGGGCCCCTCCTGGCACAGTCAGCAGCAGGAAGGAAAACTTCCCAGCCATGGTGTGAGCAATACACATGCTAGTGAGGAGCAGGATTTGAAAATACTCACTTGTTCAAAGGATTTAAGGCCAGCCTCTCTCCCCAGTCTGACCATATCATCTAAAATAGCTTTCTTCACTGCCTGGAAGAAACAGCAGAAGCAGAGTGAGTACAGCTGCTATTCTGTAATTGCAGCTCAAGACAATAACCATTGCCCAGTCAGGGAGAATGGAGGCTGGTGAGAATACGTATTTAAACATTCAAGATTTCTCTCGTTAAGGCCACTACAAAGTCATGTCTGTCTTCTCACTGGAAAAGAAGCAGTGACAGCCCTTGAAAGAACAGACACCTATACTCAGTTCCAGTTTTTGCTGTAAGGCTGCTTCCATGACTCACCCAGCATTAAACAAGTTTCATTTAGCCAAAACAAAGAGCATTGCAAGATTAGAATTCAAAATTAAATTCTGTCCCTAACCCACTGAAAAAAAAAAAGCCACTCACTGGGTTTTTGCAGAGTTCTTCAAAGGAACCTTTTACTCCCAGTTTTGCTGCAAATTCAGGAAGCATCTCAGCATCAGGAACCACTATACCTATTAGAAAAGACTGAAAAAGTGGAAGAAGTCAGGCTGAGATCAAGATAAGGCATACTAAGTATCTTCGTGAACTTGCTTGGGGACAGTTTTTCTGTGACAAGTCACATTTACGTCCCCATGCATTTTCAGAGTTTCAAAGGTGAGGATTTCCACATCACAGAGCAGTGACAGCAGCAATTGGAGTACTGACACAGTTTGTTAAATGTTCTGAATGATCCCACAATTATTTTTGGCTAGTTTAGAGATTGAAGACTGGCCTCTGCTAGCTTAGGTAGCRCCTCTGTGGCAGAGGAATGGAGAAACACTTCTGTGCAGAAAGGCTGAGAGAGTTGAGGTTGTTCAGCCTGAAGAATAGAAAGGTCCAGGAAGACCTTTTTTGTGGCCTTTCAATACCTAAAAGGAGCTTGCAAGAAAGATGGGGACAAATTTTCAGTGGGGTCTGTGGCAATAGGACAAGAGGCAATGGTTTTAAACTATGAGATAGTAAATTTAGATWAGAAATAAGGAATTTTTTGCAGTGTGGTGGTGGTGAAACAGTTGCCCAGAGAACTGGAAAATGCCACCATCCCTGGAAACATTTAAGGTCAGGCTGAATGGGGTTCTAAGCAACCTTATCAAATTGAAGATGTCCCTGCTCATTTCARGAGGAACTATCCTATGATCCTAAACTGCACATGGCTGACCTGACCCACTAATCCCATACAAGTATGTCATTAGCCTTTATCCAGCTTGCAATAATRCCAGTTGTCACTTGGGAAGGCTGTAGGTCTGAGAACACATTCCCATCAGCATGGCACTTCTAGGAACAGATTTTGTTCCAGGACTGTGTATATGTATGCATTTGTGCCYTAATCATCCAGAACTCATTGTGGGAAGGAATCTTGCAGAATGTTCACTCCTAACATCACTTACCCTCAGACTTTCTCCATGTACAAAGACTTGGGCTACAGGAGCACTTCTGATATAGACATTTTCTATCTTCTCTGGAGCAATGTATTCTCCTTGTGCAAGTTTAAATATATTCTTCTTCCTATCAATGATCTTCAGGGTTCCATTCTAGAAGTTAAAAATGGGGGTCATTAGTTTCAAGTCACTGTCTTGCTTATGTAAGATAAGCAGGCTTTGTTCTGTTGTATGAAAGGCACATAGCAGTCAAAACCCAGTCTAGAAACCACATACTGGTCTTTACTTTCTACGGAGAGAAGGGGAACACTTTGTCTCATTTCTCCAGTTAGCTCAGAACATGATTAGACAGCTCCTTTATTGTCCTCTGACAGAAACCAAGACACCTTCTTTTGTCCCCTACAGTGGAGAACAGACTTAACTATGGGCCTAGCATGTGTTATTTGAGATCTTGTAATTTAATTAGTCTTTGGAGCTTTGCCTGGAGTTACCTACTGAATCTACTGTGTAGAGAGTTTTATCCTAGAATTCCATCTGTAGGGATTACTGTGAAGCAACAGGAATTCACATCCAAGGGGTGGTTTGAATTAAGCAATTACTCACAGGCAACCATTTCCCTATGTCTCCAGTGTGGAGCCAGCCATCTTTATCAATTGCTTCTGCTGTCTTCTCAGGATCTTTCAGATAACCCTTGAACACGTTTGGTCCTTTAATGCAGACCTATAGCAAGTACAGAACACAGTTAGTTGCCAAGTCTTATGTTTCAGTATTTCCTGACGTGCACAGGAGACGGTACCTACCTCGCCTTCATTGTTAGAAGAGAAGTAGCTCATTTCTTCCACATCATCTAGTTTTATCATATTACAAGGCAGAGGGGCACCAACATGGCCTAAGAGAAAAAAAAAAAAAAAAAAACCAACAAAAAAGAAGACTTGTTTGATTGTAGATATGTAACTGGCTTTGTTCACTGCTTTAACAAGAACCAGTATTGTTTAAAGGAGTYTGGCTCAAATGTTCAATAAAGCTGTTGCAATGCCATTTTCAGACAGAAATGTAAGACAAATAGCAGCTAAGTCTTGATGCTTAGAGCATTTTTAGTTTAATCAACCACACCAACCATTGATCACACTTCCTTCCACAGAAGCCCCTCTCACAGATCCTGGTATTCAYTTGCATTTCATCCTCATTATGTTCTGCAGTTACTGTGTTCACAAAGATGGTGACTTGAGCATGAATTTAGAATATCCAGTATTAAAAACAGCCTTGCTAAGATAAAAGCTAAATCTTCGAGGTCCTTCAGGAAAATAGTCAAGTGYCATGTCTAACATTTTTGAGTAAAAAATGTCATTTAGGAGATACAGCTAGTTTCTTAAGGCCATTTGGGAAGTCCCTGCTCAGCTCTCAGTATTCCTTTCCTGTAGGCTGGGACAGTGACCTATGTCACTTTACACCARGGATCCTCATTTGGTTGATTCAAGAATTTTAATACCTATTAAGAATCACTGGGAAGTTAAGTACCCATGATTTAATTGTCATTAAACTAAAAGCAGTAGAACACCTAGGCTTGAGTGCCCCTTTACGTTGACAGCTCTTGGAGACTTCCCAAGTSTCAGCTCCCCTACCTGTTGTCCAGTC